AGGATGCTGCTAAAGTGATAAAAAGAATGATTGCAAAAAATCCTGACTCCATGAACTTTAGTGTGATTGCTATCTCAAAGAAAGTCGGTGGCTACTGAAAACATGATTATGTTTTGGTTGTTTTTTTTAGCTTAGAACTTGAGTGACCTTTGGTTTTATACAAATCATAAACTTAGAAAGGATCATAGATGCAAGATTTAATTATCTATTTAGTGTTTATACTTGATATTGATATGATCCAAAGCATGGCACCTGTTATCCGTCTTATCTTTAAAAATTATAATCTTTCTCAAACTCATGTGTTCTTGCAATTAGTCTTGAAGGATTTAAGAGAATTCTATGAAATTTGAAGTTTTTATGCTTTCTTACCTTTTGTGTGTGGATTGGTTTGTTCCATATGAGTTTCTCTGTTAAATTACATTCCTAATTACTTTTAAATTCTTGTCAGAAAGGGTGTAAGAAAAAGGTTTTCCTTTAGTGGATAGAGAAATGAGTCCATTCTTCCATTTGTCTTCACTGAATGTAAGTGGGGAAATTTCAAATGAACCCTTCATTTCTCTTAAATAAAACCCCAACAAGTCACTTCTATCTCCTATCAAAATCATTTTGTATTTGTTTGTTTTTTTTTTTTAATTATTTTATTGTAAACCAGTGGATATAATTACTGTTAATCTTTTGTTTTTTTTGTTAAATCAATCATTTAAATTATTTAACATCATCTTATTATTTATTCTTGAAGTGGGAACTTTGTCTTGATGGTTCTTGCTATGAACTCACCTCTCACAAAAGATCAAACAAGAACTCACTGATAACAAAGATCCAAGAATAGCGAAGGCATTGTAATAATAATACTCAGTAAATATTTCTCAACAATACCTAAAAGATTACAAGAACTAAAGATAATTTGGTGAATTCTAGAAGCCACTCTGCCAAATGAATAAATTTCAGATTTCACAAAAAGGATCCCAACCCCTTATTCTCTCCACTATCTATAGACCAAAAACCCTAACAGAATTTAAAGAGAAAATACCAATAATGCCCTTCCAGTAAAAGATGCTGCTTGTAATTCCTTTCTTACCCTTTCTAGAATAAGTGAGAGTGAGTGGAGGTATAGTAGGTTCCTTGTAGCATAAAACTCGTGGATCAACAAATTTAAACACGTTTGAGCAACTTTGTCTAAGTGGTTGTTTGGGAGGCGGATGAACGATAGTTTCATCAAACTATTTATCCTTCATAGAGGAGAGTGGTAACTTTGGAGTGACGGAATTATAATTTCAGTTTTGAGTAATTACTGTATAATTTTAGAATTATGCAATTATAATTTAAAAAATGTGTGTATTTTGGTGATATTTTAAGCATCAAATTTCTCTACTAGATTTCTCATTTGAATATAATTTCCAGATTCCCTTTTTATCTTAGTTATATATTTCATCATGCATCAGTTCTTCTTATAAAGTATAAACAATAAAATATCCCTAATATTTGTTTTAAACCAAAAAAAAAGTTATAACACTAATATCCTAAAGTGATACATAGTAATAATAACAATAAAGTAAAAGGTTTATACAGTAGAATTTCAAAATAAAAATGTTAGTAGATAAAAAATAGATATCTGGATTCTATATTTTAATTAATTTATAGTTGATATTAAATTAATAAATATTTTATTAAAAACAAAAATATATTTTTTCATAAAAAAAGCTTGATAGTATTTAATTACTATAATTTACTTGAGGTAAAAATTTGATTACCAAAAAAAGTTTTAATTCCTAAAAGGGGTTGTTTAGCACTATCCACAAACATTTTACCATCTTGTAAGGTTGTACTTTAAAATCTTTTTTTTAACAGCTTTATTGAGTAGTTATCTTGGTTTACTTTGGTTTTTTAACAACTTAATCAACAATCTATGTTGCAACACTCGTTGGAGTAATTTCCATAAATGAGAATCTTTATTTCCATGAATTTTCAATTCTAGTATGAAAAGTGTCATTCACATGACTTAAGAGTTTGAATAGGTGTATAATCCTTAGTGGTTTGCACATCGTTTTGCTTATCTTCATTCTTTTGGTTGATATGTTGCTTATATAATTTACCTTTGAATTTCGTGATTGCATGCCTTCTTGTAGAAGATCACCATGACGAATTTTAAACTAACTTAAAAAAAGTTTTAAATTCTTTATGCTGAATTGTAGATAAAACCATCTAACTTGAACTTATAAGACTTTGAAATGAAAAGGGGCTCTTGAGTTGGCAATGTATAAGTTGACTTTCTTGTAACGACCCATTCCATGGCATGGACTTACGATTATGCATTAGATGATTTATGAAATTGCAAGTCCATATCAAGTTATATAATGTATTCTATACTTGAAACATAATCTATAGTTGAAGGAATCACATTACGATTGATTTGTGACTAAATTGATAGTGATGTTGAAGGTGTGCGATATAGTTTTGGTGATTATAGATATGTTGACTAAGAGTACTACTTCTTGGTGATGTGAATGATTTTGTGGAGAAATTTGCTAAAGTATATGTGGATGGATTGATTTCAAGGCATGGAATGTAATTATCTATAATATTCGATTGTGATAGTTGTTTTACATCAATATATTGGGAGTCGGAAAGGCCAAGAATAAACTTAAGCACACCATATCATCTCCAAACTAATAGTCAAAATGAACGTACCATTTAAACCTTAAAGATATATTGTGGTCGGAAGGTAAAAACTTTGGAGGGAATTGTGATTTACATCTATCATTAATGGAGTTTGCCTACAACAACAATTATGATCCAAGTATTGATGTGGTATCATTTGCAACTTTATATGGTAAAAACGTTTAGGAAATTGACATTTAGGTAAAAGGCATGAAGAATTTGTGTCATATCATTTCTTTTCTAGGTTTGAGGTTGCAAATTGTCTTACGTTAAAAATATTTTAACAAGTTGGTTGCTAATCTTATTATAATATAATATATTTTATATCTATTTTAAAAAAACGGTTAGTACATTGTTATTTAAAGCAATTCATAACGATTAATACGTCTTACGCTAAAAATTATAACACTTAATTATTAAAAAAAATGTTATCAAAAGTAAAGTACCAGTATTTTCGTTCAAAAAATGTTATGATGGCCCTCACATAGTTTGTTTAATATGTAAATTAATGGTTTAATGTCATAATGAATAACAAACTATGTAAACTAGTCAAAAAAGACCCACGACCACTTCAAACACCATGCACCACCACCCATCACCGTTTACCACCACTACTCACCACTACCACCACACATCACCGTTCACCACCACCAAATCGAACCTAATAAAGTAATTATCTTCTTTAATCATTTAGTGTTTATTTGCATTCTTCAATGCAACACTCGGTTATCTTATTCATTTGTATTTCAATACTTCTTTAACAAAAATCTTCAACATTGTCGAGCGAAACGCATAATCTTTAACACAAATCTTCAACACCGTTGAGAGAGCTAAAGAAATCTTCAACAAAAATCCTGTGAGGGATACGAAGAATTTAATTATTAAAATATTTGGTGATAGATTTTATCCATGTACAACGGCACTATTGATGAAAGACAGAGAACTTGAGCGAAACAAACGGATTACGTCCCCCTCATGTTAAAAAAAAATTATTTACTAGGTTTCTTTGGTCTCTTTTTTTTTATATCCTTTTTCCAGTTTTTGAATCCAATGGTCTTTTATTGAGATTCCCATGGTTTATCATGATCAACATAATCAAAAATTGTGTTTTAAGTTTAATTTTAAACCATCTTCATTCAAGTAGTTGAAGAAGCCGATGAGTCATGTCCATAAGGGTGAGTCCATATGTGCCTTAGGTGGTAGGTCACTTGATCTATCTATATTTTTTTTAATAAAATGTGACATATCTTAATGTTTTTGCCAACTAGTCTTTTTAAAGTGAAACTACCTTAGGGTTGTTTGATAGTTACTGATTGGGTTATAGCTAAGTGGATTAGAAATTCTGACTGAATCTACGTCTAATTGAAACCATGTTGTATGATTATGCATTTGATTGGCTGTGTTGAATGATCATAATGACCATTTTACCTTTTTGTTATGTTTGCAACATAACATGAATCTATTTAGTTATAGCAATGTCGTTTAATACAAAAACAATTCTCACAACTGCACTTGAGGTAAAAAAATTCAAAGTAAATTTTTTTCAAAGCACATGAAATAGAAAACATTTTTCTTCATGGTTTCACTCATGTTATTTGGTTGTTGAATCAAATCATAAGCACCTACAATAATTGCCATGTTATATAAAACATTATAATAGGTGCCAAAATCATACATTGCTATTGGAATACTAGTAAAAAGTAAAGTACTTTGCTATTAAAACACTTCATCTTATGTCCTACAATGGTATTTGAAATTACCATGATAACCAATAGTTTGTTTTAGTGTTGGGGATGCCCTTCCAACATACTCAACTTAAGAATACGATTTGCACCTGATCTAAAAAAAACATAAGATCCCAAAACTGATAATTGCAATAGAAAATCAAGCAACTTCAGAAAAACTTATCTAATGACAAAATCTGTCAATTTTACCTTTCCACTGATTTGATAAATGTAGAGCATAAATTGATTTCATAAATGTAGAGCAAATTTAAATTTCATACATATATGATACCAACATAGCATATATGAAATCTGTTGAAAACTGATTTATGCACTATATATGTATGAATAAGTTGAATCAGAATTTATGCTATGTTTTTTTTTTCTCTTCCAAAAAAAACATACCATAAATTTTGATTCAACTGATTCATACATATATAGTGCATAAAAAAAACATAGCATAAATTCTGATTCAACTGATTCATACATATATAGTGCATAAATCAGTTTTCAACAAATTTCATATATAGAGAAATTCACCTCGACAAGAGGGAGGAGCAAAATTCATATTTCATCCATTAACACTAACATCAGTTTTCAACTGATTTCAGGAAAAAAATGAAGAAGACGAAAATGTCTGGTTGTTTGGATAGAGGTCGATGTTCTGCTTCAGGCGGCGGCGGCGACGACGGCGATGGAGAGGCAGGAGGGAGGAGCGGCGCCTTCAAAGCGGACAAGAGGAACAGAGCAAAACAACGAGTGTTCTTTTTTCTCAGGGCAAAGACTTTTTTGGGTCACCCACATTTCAAGTAAGGACCGAGTCATGAGATATAGCGATTGCTGAGTCAACCAACATTGGGCCTTATCAAATAAGCTGACAGAATCAGCCAAAAAGTGTTGACCGACCCAGTCAGCTATGTATTAAACACACCTTCAATGTTTTTGACAACTAGTATTTTTGATTTTTTTTTAGTTTTAATTAAATAATAGATCATATGGTTTTACGTTCTAGACTAATATCCTCATCCAAATTAAAAATACTATTTTTGATACGGAGTAATTTTCAGTTTTGATGGTGGTGAACGAGGTGGTTTTGAACATTTTAAATAGTGGGTTGCTTATTTATTACATTAAGAATTCAATTGATGGAAGTTACATGATGTTTTTTTTAACAAAAAGAATATCAATAACTTGGCATGTCTGGTCACCACTCACCAAACACTCCAACCATACAGCAGGTTGGAAAAGAAAGGGAGGAGACGGGGAAAAGAAAGAGGAAATAAAGAGGAAAGAGCAGAGATTCTGAAACACGATAGAAAAAGATTCTGAAACACGGGTCAACGTCAATTCGCTTCCTTGTTCAATGCAGTTCTGCCATTGATCCCCCAAGATTACCATATATCACTAATCATTGAGATCGGTTTCAGCAAGAGCCAAGAGTCAAAAATCACATACACACACTCCAGAAAGAAATCCCCAAAAATGGCGGGAATCGTGCGGCTGCTCATATCTGATATAATCATGTCGTTCATGTGGGTGTGGTCAAGCGTCATAATCAAGCTATTTTGTCCACAAGGTTTTGGGGTTTGGCCATCATGGCTTCCCTGTTGAAGTGTTTAGGTCTTCGCTTTCCATTCTCAACATGTTCTTCTTTGCTTATCTTGCTAAGCTCACCAATGGCGGAGCCTATAATCCCCTCACTGTCTTGTCCTCCGCCATCTCTGGAAATTTCGCAACCTTCCTCTTCACTGTTGGTTCAAGAATCCCCTTTCAGGTTACCTATTATATTCTCTTCTCAAAATCTTTGACTGGTTTAGATATGAACTGCGATTGGGATTGCATCAATCAAGTCCGTTGACTAATTGATACAATTCTTGTTCTGTATGTTTTCTGATTTGGGTTGCATTGCACTTTGGAAGATCACCAATCCCTAATTTTGTTTTATCTAGCCAGATACAAATTAGGGTTTGGTTTTAACCATGAAGAAGTTTTTCTAAAAAAAATGTTGGTACTTTCTTTGGCAACAAACTCTTTAAAATATGATTGGTAATACCTTAAAAGAAAGAAATGAAAGTAGGATGCTATTATAAACTAATGGTGGTTGTGATTTTTAGGTGTTGGGATCGATAAGTGCGGTGAGGCTTATCCTGGGTATCTTTCCAGAAATAGGACGTGGGCCCCGACTGAATGTTAGTCTGTATGAAGGTGCATTGACTGAAGGGTTGTTGACATTCACGATTGTCCTCATCTCACATGGAGTCTCTACCAAAATACCCGGAAGTTTCTTGAGGAAAACATGGATCAGTAGTGTCTCAAAACTTGCTCTTCATATACTCGGATCAGATCTAACTGGTGGTGCTATGAACCCAGCTTCTGTAAGTACTACTTCCATTATTCATGCTCTTGTATTTTATTGTATGGTTGAATGCGTGTTTATTCAATGGTGTTTCACTTTTTTTTTCCCCAATTATGTTTAAACGGTTAAAATTGGTAAAAAAGTGTTGAGGGTATTTTTGAGATTTATAACTTGATTGGATTGGATGGTTTTTCAGGTAATGGGGTGGGCTTATGCACGTGGTGATCATATAACGAAAGAGCATTTAGTTGTTTACTGGGTTGCCCCTATGGTAGCAACCCTATTAGCAGCATGGACCTTTAGGCATCTTGTACGTCCCTCAGACTCAAAACAAGACAAACAGAAGAAGACTAATTGAAGTTGATTTGCATTTGAATTTTCAATTTTGAAGTCGATTGTAGTTGTGTGTTCAGAAGGAGCACATCACATCGTGCTTGTAAATTAATTATTCTTCTGGGTAACTACTTTAGACCATGTATTATGGGCTTTTTGGTGAAACATGTCTTTCTTTTTAGCACAAGTATCTAAATGTAGACATGTTGTATTTAATGATTCAACTCAAATTTCAATCTTGTTTCATTAACATGAATTCTGTTATATTCAATTGCAAATCCGGTTTTGTCATTTGTGTGTTAAAAAGCTAACATGGTATTACCAAGTGTTTGGCAAAATAGTTTATTGCTTATTAGCTTATAAGCTAATAAGTGTGAGGTAACTTATGAAAAAATCGTTTATTAGAGGTTTCCACCGGAATAAACTATTTTTATCCAAACACTTTTTAGCTTATAGTTGTGTGGAACCACTAATAAGCTTAGCCAAACACCCCCTAAATAGTAACAAAGTTTTATAGTAGTTCCATTCAGGGTCACTCGGAGTTCCTTTAAAAGATTTACACTCGAGTTCCAATTTTGTTGGTTTGTTTATTTGTTTTTGAGAATGCAGGGACAATCTCAATAAATTACAAGTTTACAACCAAATTTAGGGGTGTATGGGATTGCTTATGTAAAATAGTTTTTTTTTTTTTTTTTTTTTATAAGTGATATTTGGTGTCAAAACAGTCATCTACAAGCTAATAAGTTGTTTTTTAGAGTTTGACAAATTCAAACTTATACATATAAAAGGACCGAAAAAAACATCATTGAAAAGCTATATGAATAACATTCAGATACCATATTTTGCAACGAAAAGATATTTATAAACAGGTAAATTAGATATTTGTAAACATTGAAAAGATATTCACAAACATGTATTTTTTAACAAACCAAAAGGAGTCAATCAGTAACTCTTATTCAAACTATGTGTTCGAAAGTTGGTTTGAAAAAGAAAATACTGTAAAAAGCAAAAAAATGTGATGGGAGGGAGATGAACGAGGGTAGGATGTTCCCGCTGTGGTCCAAGATTTAAAAAGAAAAAAACAATGATATATATGAGATAATTTGAAAAATAAATTATGTTTTTTTACCATTGTATCGTGAGTTTCTAGAGCATAAATGAGCATTGGTAAACATCGTAAGAATTCTTGAGAAGAATATAGAAGAATAATCAATGATATATAAAGAGTATTAGGTTTAGATAGGGATAAATAAGTAATTTTATATAAACAACCCCAAACACCCCTTTAATAATTAATACAAACAATATCAATAACAATTGATAAACAACCCATTACTGAAATCCAAATGCCATTGCTGAACAAGGAAAAACATGGACAAATAATAAAAGATCAAACATGAAAAAAATAACAATGTACTTTCAATGCTGTCTAAATACAACGCATTTTATCACTGCTATAACTGGATAGATTATTTGTAAATATAATGTTTGATAAGAAAAAGAAAAAATGCTATAATTCCAGACTTCTCAAAGTAGATTGCCTTAACATGAAAAGAATTGAGGTACAAGGCTGTAACAAAACAATAAGAACAGTAAGATTGTATAATACAAGAATAAATAGAAATACATAGCTGTTTCTTGCATTTAGCCCATTACAAAAAACAACATGAAACATCAAGCAGAGGAAAGATGAATCAATTATAAGAGGCAACATGAAACATCCCAATTAAGGATTATAAAAAATGGGCACCTTTCAGTCCCTCTTCTCACCAAAAAAGCAATTTCTTTCATGCCAATTCTTCATAGTTCAAACAACACTATATTAACAACAAAACTTCCATCATCAAAACTTTGTTAAAACTCAAGGCTAACACAAAGTAGAAATAAAAACATCACCTAATCATCATAATAAGCAACATAAAACATCAAAAAAAGGATTAATCTTTGGTACCCTTTTAATCCCTTTTATCACCAATATATCCTTCTTTTCTCCCTTCAAATCCAGGCCTCATCAATTTCTTCTCCCTCTTGGCAATCTTCCTAGCTTTCTTCTGGTTAGCCCTCTCTTCAATATTCCCTCTCCTCTTTGACTGTTTCTCCTTACTCAACTTGTCCTGTGTCTCAACTCTCTCCTTCCATTTACCTGCACTCTTCTCACGCCTCTTCTTATCCTTCTGTAAACTCTTCTTCAAAAGCTTTGGATCATCATGAACCTTCACTCCCATCGCCTTTTCAGTTGCAGCCTTCCATGAATGCTTTGTAGCCACCACAACATCTTCCTTCTTTGCTTCCTTCAACTTCTTTGCCTTTTCCAACTCCTGTACTTTTGAACCCTTCTTCACCTTCTTCTTCTTACTCCCATCTTCATCTCCTAATTTCACTTTCCCAAATTCAAAATCACCCTCAAACTTATCTTTATCCTTATCCTTATCACCACTACCACTACCCTTACCACCATTATCATGATCTTCCCTCTTCCGTTTCTTGTCTGTAAAATCACCCCTTTCCCTCCTTTCATTCATCATCATTGTTCTTTTCCCTTCCCCTCGATTCGCTTTAAGCATTTCAAGCTTAGAATGCAATCTCTGGCGTAGCTCTTCATAGGTAACAGACTTGTTACTTGTTTCACCATCGAAATTTGTAATGGGCTTCACTTTAATTTCGATTTCTTCTTCTTCTTCTTCATCATCATCATCATCATCAGAATCCTTGTTACTGTTTTCATTCTTGCTAATACTTTTTTTGAGGAGGTCTAGAGTTGTGGTTTGTGATTTCTCAGGGTCAAGGCGATCTCGGCGGGATTTCTTGATGTTATCTCGTGTTTGTTGTTTGAGAGAGGCTTTTTTGCCTTTGCTCAGGCCTTGGAACCAGGGTTTTGAATCTTCTTCAACGGGAAGGTAGAATTTTGCAGGGATTAATTCAACTAGTTTGTCAAAGAAAAGAGCATGATCGTGGATTAGGGTTTTGAGGTCATCTGTAGATAGTGTCCCCTTTTGCAGCTTCTTCTTCATTGCAAAGGAAAAAAAAAAAACGAAACCTGAAAAACGTATCTAATCGTTAAAAGGATATAAATCGTTAGATGTATGCGTGTAAACGCAGAACCGCATCAACACCTTTCAAAAACAACAAGATCATAATTAACCATATTATGGGCAGCTTAACACAAAAAAAAAATAGATGAAGACGAACCTGTAGCTGGTCGAACGTCTCCGGGTGTAGCTGTTGCGGCGTAGGCGATGGAGAGAATCAGACAAATGGAGGCGTTGTTGTGTCTTGTATTAGGTTTAAGCCGTATATTGCTCAGTTTCTTAAGTGAAAGCCCGATGGACCAAGTTCAAGCCTATTTTCGTTTTCATAAACCGTCTAAATTTTCTCTATGTTAAATAATAATGAGATTGTTTTTAATTAAATTATTGTTAAATAATAATGAGATTGTTTTTAATTAAATTATCAAAACCATTTGTTATATTAAAAGGAAAGAATACCATCTTTAAAGAAATTAAAATTCTCAAGAATCAAGATAACTTAAATTTATGTTAGGGTTATTGTAATCGACAATCGGAGTTTTGAAGAACCATTTATTTAGTCATAATAGTTCAAATTGTGTTAAATAAGATCCAAAATATGAGTTTGCAACTTAAATGACCATTTTAGACCAATGGTTGTAGGTTTTTCCGGTCAACCCCCACATGGAATATGGATTTGTTCAATTTTGGAACTAGACCAAAATTGAAATAACAGAAAATGAACTTTTCCTATGATTAAAGACCGAACCGATGTAAGGGAGTCGGTTCCAGTTTGGTTTGAGTATGGTACGAGTTAATCGGGTATGGAACCGCCGAACCGATTATGACCAAAACTTGTTGGCTTTGCATTGGAACCGGTTGCGGGTTTGGAACAGAAAATAACGAAAAACAATGGTTGTTCGGTAGAAAATGTGTAAAAAGATTGTTTGTTACTTGTATTTTAAATGGCATATACCTTGCCAAATGTGAAATAGTTTGCAAATGAAATGAAGCAACAAATTAAAAAAATTACAATTAACTAATTAAGTTATTACAATGTCAATTTTCCATTACTCTTCATTGTAGGTGATTAAACACCCGATTATATGATCGATTTGTTAACAAAGGTTTCTTGAAGACAATTGTCACTTAAAGAAAAAAACAAATGTTTCTTGGAGTCTAGTTTCTCTCGTTCGCATAAGGTAAAAACATGGGCAGATGGGTTTTCTATTAGCAATAGTCGACACATTGCAAGAAGTGAAAAGCCATTTAAAATTATGATTCCGGGTTTAAGACTCGAAATACCCGGTATTCATACCTGAAAACATTTATTTGTGTTTGTTTTTTTTTTTGCAAAAGTTCTTCTTGACCTCTTATGTCTGCGCCGCGCAGACAACGCGCAGACGTTTGGTCTCGCAGACTGTTTGTTCTTTAGAAGACCGCAGACCTAAAAAGGTCTGCGCGTCCTCTTCTTGGCGCAGATATAAACATATGTCTTCTAACATCTTCTAGCATTTTCTTACCTCTTCCACAATATGTATTTAACTTTAATATATATATATATATATATATATATATATATATATATATATTTGTAATTTTAGTGTCATTTTTTATTTTTTATATTTTTGTCCTCCTCTTTTTTTTATGTATTTATTTGTTACTTTATTTATTGTTTTTTATATCATAATTATGTATTAACCCAAATGTTTATGTATATGATTATGTATATGTTTTTCTATTCAAATAATATATTTATCCAAATAATTTTGACATAGTTTTATAGATATTTTTATTTTTGTGCAATGTAAGTAAATCTGGTAACTTTTTTTTTATGTTATTTAGGATAGAAACAATATCATTGATTAATTAGTTATATATATATATATATATATATATATATATATATATATATATATCAAAAAAATTTATGAAGTTTTATTTTTCAGTTATCATAATTTATACCACATTAATAACTATGTTCATTTAATTTTTTAATTATTGAATCCCAACATAGTTTTAGCCCTTCAAATCATCATATCATCGAATTTTATATCAGTTTCAGTTTATTATTTTCGGTTTGTTGCGTTTTTATCAAATTTTTTTATCGATTCGGTTTTTGCTCACCCCAAACTATATTTGTAAATTAGTTGTATGTTTTATTTAGTCGTTGAAGTTATAGTTGATGAAAATTTTAGTTTTTTGTAATATTTTTATGTTTAAAAAACTGGTATATCTAAATCTCAATATATTTTAACAACACGTAGACGTTAAAAAACAAACAGTCTTTATTTTACAGATTGCAGACATTTGGTCCACCTCTTCTACAGCAGAGGTTTGCAGATGTGGTCCGCAGACTGCAGACATTTTGTCTCCGAAAAAACAAACAACACCTTACATACGATGATACTATATTCTTACTATATCAACACTTTGGTAATGGGTTTATTAGGATAGAAAAACTTTTAGTTTTTTGCACTGTAAATTGACAATTATTACCTCATTATGTTGACACTTTTGTAATAGTTTTCAAACATGCACATATGCTATTATTCAAAATCCATCGTATCAAACTTGGAAAAACTTAGATATATGATATATCATTATTATCTTTCTATCATGGAGAAAACATGACACACAAATAATAACATTCAAACCTAGACTACAAAGAAATATATTGTATTGATATCATTCATACCATTAATACCTTTAATGTCATACAAAAGGCACTTCCATGACTAAACACTACATTGGTTAGTGCTTATGGCAAACATAGCCCCAAATACAGCGAAAATAGCCTAAATGTATAATATATGTACATTTTTCCATATAAAATATGTTGGTTGGGGTTTTGGACCAATGAAATTACTTCTAAAACACAACAATAAAACTTAATCAATACATATAAAATGCAGCAATAAACTTACATCTAAAACACAACAATATCTCAAATGTATAAAATATGTACATTTTTAGTGTCATATCTTTCAAAACCAAGTCATGTGTTTTGAACTATTTTTCATACAAAATGTGAATGTCATATACATTTTGCCCCACTTTAACTACTATAAGTTGGTTGGGGTTTCAAACCACTAAAACTACATCTAAAAAACAACAATAAACTTAAATTATACATATAAATTGAATTCTATGAGATCCATTAGTGAATTAATGAAGTTAGGGTTTCAAGCCACCCCTAAAGCTTCATGAACACATTTTTTTATCATAGAGATAAACTTTCGTCATTGAAATTAGTGTTTTCAACTTATAATTCAAAACTAAACTTGATAGAATCATGAGTTTCATCATAGAATTCGTATTTGGAAAACAATGAAGCTTAAATAACAAGGAGGTGGAAGAATGCTTACCTTTCAAGATTTACATTGAAGAATTTGACTTAAAACTACCCTAGATTTTTAATTTATTTTAGATTATACTAAATGCTCCAAAAATCGATTTTAAATCCATACCCTAATTTCACGATCAAGATTCTAAAATTTGTTGGAGCACTTAAGGAAATGCTATAACTTATAAGAATGATTTGGAAGACCACAGAACATCCTAAACTTCTCTAGGACATTGGAAAATGATCTACCACTTTTCATAAAGTCTTGAAAATACATGTAGTTGCATAAAAAGATCTAGATTAAACTTTAATGTGACATGTAAATAGTAATCTCTGGAAACTTCCCAAGATGAGGTGTAAGGAGACTATAAATAAGGAAGGAGCTCATTTGCTCCAAACCATCGGAAGTTGCTTTGTAATCTCTCGAGTTTTTTAATATAAATTCTCTTTAGTTTGTAGTAACTATAAAGCTTTAGTCTTTTTCTTTCCAAGTCATTAGTACATCCAAGGTGTAACGCCCGTAGATCCGGGCTAGTCAATTTAGAGAAGATAAGCATCAAAAATGACTTTTTGATGGAAGCTTATTTAGAAGGATTAATCTTAACCAAGTTGTAGTATATGTCTCAAGGTTTCCGGATATATAAAGAATGTCGAAATCCGAGTTATAACGAAGAAGTTATGACCTGTCGAAGTTTCGCGACAAACCGGCACGGTGCCCAATGTCGTAAAAAGTGAGTTTTTGATAAACTACTTTTTAGCCTTAGTGATCTAAACGAAACTCATAGTGTTCGTTAAACCGAGAGTAGGTATAAAAAGAACGCCCAAATCTGACTTCGTATGAGGAAGTTATGATTTTTTTGAAGTTTCAGCTTAGTAGTAGACAGCTAAAAACTCGAATTTTAGATCGAGTGATTTTTAGCCGACACGACCTAAACGAGAATCGAAGGTCTCGTAAATAGTAGCACAAAGGTAAAAAGTCTGACAAAAACGGACGTCGGATGAAGAAGTTATGAATTTTTAACGGATTTCCTGTCCCGGTCTGTTAAAAATAATAATATTAAAATAAAAGTCAAAATTAGCCGACGAAGTCTAAAGAAAATTTGTAGAGCGTAATTTTACCTACGCGTGCATATAAAGAACGTCAAAAACGGAGCCCGTATGCAAAAGTTATGGATTTTAAAAGTTTGGGCACAAAATCCGAGGAATTTATCATGCATGGCTCGGAATTGGCCACGTACGAGCCTTGCATGCATGACGCGTGTCAGCCGCTGATATGACCGAAGGGAGGTCCAACCGAAGTCCGGCGTGTGTCGCATCCGTGGAGGCGTCCGAAGCGAGCCACGTCTTGCCTACGAGGTTCCGACGCGCCTCCTACACCTCGCCTCCATGTCTCGCCCTCGCACCAACCACCTGTCCCTTCGCATCCAAGCCACCTCCGAGCCTCACAGCTGCCGCGTGGAGCTTCTTGAGCCATTGATCTTCGGTCTCGCACCCTATAAAAGGGGGGGTTGCGTGATCTCCCGGCTATTTTTCACCCCTAAACTCATATTTTCACTATTTCGACCTCCTCCGAAGCCCCGAGATCATTTCGAACACCCGGATCACGCCCCGGAGTGCCCGAGAAGCCCGGGAAATTTATTTTTTCTGTTTCGAAGCCCGACCCTTCGCAGAGCCCGGTTTCTCAATAAAACTCCCGGTTTTATTAGAAACGATCGTTTTAGGAAACGAATTGCTGCCCGGTTTTCATTAAATCAGGTGAGTGTATAGTTACTTTCTTCTAACACATAAATATGAAGTATTTACTATGAAATACGTGCTATGTGTTTATATATTGTTTGTTTATTTGAGATGGGTGTGGTATGAATGTTTTATATAGGTTTTAAATAAGTTAAACTGTATATGCATTTTGTATCTACGAATATGTTGGGTAAACATGGGTAGATAAATGATGAGGTATGAAAGATAATTAAGAATAATATTGGCAGATGCACCAAATAGAGAATCTCAAAATACTAGCAGATACGCCTAAGAATAAAATTGGCAGATGAACCAATCAGTGAATGTTGTAATCCTGGCAGATGTGCTTAAAGGATAATGTCGGCAGATGCGCCTAATAGTGTATGTCGTAATCATGGCA